TTAATTTTCCATGTTTGGGTGAATTTTCGTAGGGTTTGTCCCTTTTTGGAGTGGGAGCTCTAATGTTAGTAACCCCCCCAGTTGGTTTGTCTATTTCTACCTCTTGACAGTTAGAAACATCATTTTGTAACTAACTGATTGTCAGTTATACTTATTATGAGGTTAATATAATTGTACTTGTCATTCCGTTAAAATGCATGTATGTTTACTCATGATGCAAATAAATCAAAAACATAAGCGCCATTTATTTTTATTTTTCAAAGAGATATAAAATTGACAATCAACCAAAGAAATTACAGAGTTGGTAAGCATACTAGCCTATCACAACCACAGTTGTACAAACGACCACTTCACCATTGCCTAGAAAACAAAATAACTACAACACACATATTTAAGTTACCGAGCAATAAGAGATATTAGAGACCTTAGGTGCAATATAAGAATGCAAAGACAAGGAAAGGGAGCAAAAATCTAGCCACTGGATCAACAAAAAACCTAGCCACATAAGGAAAACCAAAAGTCCAACAGCAATAAAATTAACTAAACCAAGAATCTCAAATAAAACTAGCAGTTTGAGAATTTCCTTCAATCAAGAGCACCCCCAGTGCCCTGGTCGGAGCTATGAACTGCGGGACACCATACGTGAGGTTGCTGAGAGTATGGAGGAATTACCGTAGATGGTAAACGGTGATTTCAGCATCTTTTTGCATCCCGATGAGTGCGTTAGTGGTCGGTCGGGCCGTTCAGCAAAGATCTTAGATTCTTTCTGACGGTGGCAGACTTTGAGTTAGTTGACGCTTGTTGCGAAAGTTTCCCCTTCACTAGGGAGCGAGGTGGAGTCCAAGAGAGGCTCGATCGTGCTTTGGTCTTTGAGGCATGGGCGAGGTTGTTTGTCGTTACGACCATCACACACTTTCTTCGAATTGAGTCTGACCATGCTCCCATCCACATCCGATGTAGATTCTCGAGCTCCCCTCGTTGCTTTTCTTTTTGATTCCAAAACATGTGGATTCGCCACGACATTTTCCATGACATTGTTAGGGATTCTTGGTTGCAGCCGACTGGGCTCTTCGGGATGCGCAACCTGAAGGCCAAGCTCGAGAGATTGTGACGAAGGTTGAAGCAGTGGAATTGGGATATTTTTGGAGACCTTTCCAAGCCTTTCTGCAGCTCAGAGTGCGTATGTTGTCGCTGAGCGAGCCTATGATCTGGACTCATCTCCAGACAATAGGACAACGATGTGTTGCTGTCACACGGAGTACCAGTTCTGACTTCTTATGGAGGAGGATTTCTAAAAGCAGAAGGTTGTCGTGCATTGGGTTATTGAGAGGGAGCGTAATACCAAGTACTTTCAGGAGTTTGTGAGGCAGAAGCGTGTCATGTCGTGTATCCATAGTATCGAGGACAACGGGTCATCGCTGACTCAAGAGTCCAAGAAACAGGTTCAGTTGTGGCGCATTTTTAGTCTCTCTTCACCCCAGACATGGATTTGCTTACGACCCCCAATGCTTTCCTCTTCCCCACCATCCCTAAGTCGCTCAACCCTGTTGGCCCTTGCGAGCTCCCGATCAGGGAAGAGGTTAGGGGCTATTTTTGGAATTGATCCCAACGGTGTCTCTAGCTCGTATGGCATCTCATCTGTCTTCATCAAGCATGTTGAGATCTTGTTGAGATTGATGTTAAGGAAGCTGTAGCGGATTTCTTCTTTGGTCACCAGATGCCAAAGTCCTTCACTGCTACCTTAGTCGTCTTGATCCCTAAAGGACCTTGCATGAGCTCTTGGTCAAATTATAAGCCTATCAACCTATGTAATATGATCAACGCTCATCTCCAAAATTCTTAACGGGCGTCTTGCTCCTTTCTTTCATTCTCTCATCTCTCTGAACCAACAAGGATCGAGTCATTAGTGATAACATTCTTTTATCCCAGGAGATGATCCACGACATCTCTCATGTGAATCGGTTGCGAGTCCCTAACCTTGCACTTAAGCTAAACATGGCTAAGACATGTGATATAGGTCGAGTGGCCTTTTTCAAGAAGGTGCTGGTCCGGATGGGTTTCCCAAAGCGGTGGGTCAGCTTTGTATAGGCGTGTGTGGAGCACTGCACGTTCTCAGTTCTCGTTGGCAGCCCCACCGACTTCTTCTCTTCATCTCGGGGCCTCTGATAAGTAGATCCCTTCTCCCCCTCGCCTTTTGTTCTAGACGCAGACTACCTTTCTTGCTGCCTTGACGTACAACACACGTGACAATGGTCCTCCCATCTCGCACTTATTTTATGCGGATGACATAATTATATTCACCCGTACGTATAATGATGGACTAATCGAGCTTATTCATCTTCTAGAGCACTATTGCTTGGTCACTGGTCAGCTCTTTAGTGTGCAAAAGAGAACCTTCATCCTCTCTCCTCCTATTGCGGATCAATGGGCGTAGTAAGTCCACGAGCGCACTGGTTTTGCGCGCGATAACCTCCACATCATCGATCCCAGCGTCCCTCTGTACAAGGGCTATCTCACGAGTATGCTCTTTGCATATGTCAGGCAAAGGATGATTGATCGGATCCCTAGCTGGTCGCACAAACATCTTTCTTTTGGGGGTCAGCTTGCGCTGATCAAGAGCACCCTTAGTGTCCTTCGCTTCATCTCCCCATGGTCCTCAATCCCCTCAATCCACTATCCACGAGTTGGATCAGATCATGACTGGTTATTCTTTGGGGCATGGGGAAGGCTCTCAGATGGGGAGACAGCTCCATTGGGTGAAGTTGAATTCTGTTTGTCAGACTTTTTCCGAGGGTGGCCTTGGGCCGCTTATCGGATGTAGTCACCGTTTTTTCTTATAAGATGTGGTGGCGCTTCAGGGAGGGAAAGTCTCTTTGGGCTCAGTACCATCTCGGGAAGTAATGCCCTAGAGGTGTCTGTCATTCTTGTAGGGAGACGACCACCGTTCATGATATTAAACAGGGGAGGCGGTTCACCGGGGTAGGTAGGTGTGCCTAGGGGCACATCTTCTAGATGTTGGGTAAGGGGGATGTTAGCTTTCGGGAGAAGTGGTGGTTTGGTGAGGGGTCTTTCTCGAACACTAGGCAGGTCACTCACTCCCCATCCCTGTAGGTGAAGGACCTGTGGTCTGATGGGGCTTGTGATAAGGATAGGTTAGAAGGGTGTTGGCTACTAGAGCTGGTTTTAGTGACTAGGTTTTAGATCAGATCGAGCAGATTCTCATCTCGGAGGACAGTTTGGACAATATGAGGTGGAGACTTACATCTTCGGGTGCATTTTCGACGACCTCGGCTTGGTGGGAAGTACAGCTGGGTGACTGGCCTAACCTTCTCTTCAGGGCCATTTGGGCCAACCTGCTTACCCCCGAGCATCTCTATCTTCCTTTGGAGCCTTCTCCTGCGCCGTATTCAGATCGACGTTGTGATGCAAGCGAGGGGGTTTTCCTTCCCTTAACGGTGTTATTGTTGTGCCGAGACCGGAGATTTTTAGACTGAGATTTTTTCCCATTTGTTTTTAGAGAGCGAGGTTACGAGGAGAGTGTATGAGCATTTCGCCACTCATACTCATATACCCCTTCCCACTAAAGATAGTTTCTTTGAGCACCTGACAACGCACACACTTTAGACACGTAGGTTCTCTTATTCCTTGTCTGATCCTGAGGTTCATCTGGAAAAAAAAAAAAGGAATAGTGCGAAACATAGGAATATTACTTTTATGTGCTCTCACATTGTTTTGCAGGTTGATCGACATCTCTCTGCTCACAGCTCTGGGAAAACTCACACCTAGAGAGTGGAAAGGTTGCACGCTGCCACATCGCTTCGTACTATCTCCACTGTCACATGTCCAACACCAACACACCAGAACCGTTGTTTGGCTAAGACCCCACTCCCCTTGAGTTAAGCTAAACACTGATGGATCTTTCCACCGATTTACCGAAGCCGCCCGAAGTGGGGGCCTGATTAGGGATCACAACGAACTCTCAATACCACCTTTCACACCCCTCTTCAAGCTTGCTCGAGCTGCGACACGAAGGTTCAGACGCTTCAGATCGGTCTCCAGATTGCAGCCTCTATCCCTTCTAACATGTGGATATAGTTGAATGTTGCCGCTGTCGCCACCTTCTTGATCTCAGGCCACCAAGGCTTATGGCAAATTCAGTACTCGCCCATGCGCATCAGATCCGTACTTCAGTCGGTTCGCTACCAGATCTCGCACATCTTTCGCTAGGAGAACCGACCTGCTGAGCACCTAGTACCTCCAACCCAATAAAGCGCGCAACTTCCTCTTGGAAGACGTCCCCTCTCCGTCTCCGTCCTATTGTGAAGATTGACCAAATGGACCACCCTTCGTTTAGATTTTAATAGTCATCTTGTATTTTTGTTATTTTTATCGGGCTTCGACCCACTTTCTGGAGCAGACTGCTTGCCTGAGCACCCATCAGCCGACGTTCAGACTTTTCTTTCCAGTCGTCTCTTTTCTTGTTTTTTGTTTTAGATTTTTAGTTAAACATGTGGACTCTAATTTTCAACCCATTTAGCCTTAACTGGGGGATCCAACCTTAATCCCCCACCTCTGTGTGTGTGAAAAAAA